GGGGGCTTTAGTCCCCACCCTTTAGTGCCGGATACAGAACCGGCACTAAAGGCCCTTACGAACCGGAGCTATAGCCCGATTCTGCACTACAAACAAGCCACAAAATTACATCGGATTGATCCCAATCATATAAGGAAGAAGGGGAACATGGTATTGAAGATCCAAAAGAGAGAGAGAGAGAGAACCATCTAGCTACTACTATGGACCCATAGGTCCTGAAGGAACTACTCACACATGGTGATGGAGGATACAAGGTTAATGAAGAGCCTCCTGGCAATGGCTTCCCCCTCCGGCAGAACTCCAGAACGGGACTCCAGATGGGGTCTCTTCGGAGCAGAGGATTGTGATGGCGATAAAAATCTTCTAGAGGTACGACAGATGGTCTTTGTACTCATGGGGAATTATGGCGGTGAAATTGGACTAAGGAGGTATCCAGGGGGCCCACATGGATAGGTGGGGCGGCCACCCCCTGTTGCGTCATGTGTCCATGTGGGATCCTCATGGGTCCTCTCATTGCTTCCTGAAGCTTCTAGTGTTTCTTGTTGCCCAAAAAATCATGCTAAATCGGCAACGTATTTTGACCTCCGTGGGTATTGATTTCCTGCAAAACCAAAAACAAGTACTCCATCTGTCCGAAAAAACTTGTCCCTCAAATGGATGTATCTAGCACCAAGTTAGTGCTAGATACATTCATTTGAGAGACAAGCTTGGGACAAGCTTTTTCGAACGGAGGGAGCAAAAAACAGGAACTTGCATTGGGCACTGAATTAATTAATTAGGCCATAAAAATAATGTAAAAACTATAAAAAATTATATAAAAATTGTAACAATAGCATTTAACAATCAAAAATTGTAGATCGTTTAAGACGTATCACCCCTCTAAACAAGTCATTCACAGCAAGCAAATCCATAATGAAATAAAATAGCAAGCGAGAATTAGAAAATGGAAGCACAGTAAATGTTTCTCTTACCAAGTTTCACTTACCAAGAGTGCTACACTCCCCGGCAACAACGCCAAAAAGGAGTCTTGATAACCCACAAGTGTGAGGGATCCATCATAGCCTTTTTAATAAGTAAGAGTATCGAACGCAATGAGGAGCAAAAGGAATTGGTTGATGGAAACTAGCAAGAGTTCACTGTAAAGCTACATGAGTGGTTGTGGTTTTTCTGAAAGAAAGAGTGAATGACGTAAAGTAAATAGTAACAAAATTGCAATAGTGAAGCAAGTGGTCAATCCTTAATTATGCTAAGGACAAGCCATTTTTTAACTTATAGGTATCAAGGCATTCTCGAGGACACATGTGAGTTCCACCAAGTTACTTCCATCAAGATCCATTGAGTTACCATTCACTGCTTTGAAAATTTGTTGTGCGGTGGAAGCTATCATTATGTGATGTTCTTGCATGAACAAACAACATAGTTAGGATTATACCCGCAAGCATCTACAAATACAAGAATAATTAGTATAACATCTAACCATAGCAATAAATTCTAGGGTTCCAACACCCCTCATGCAACAGTTCTTAAACTTAGCGTATGGTAATATCTGTCACTCTTGCCACCCATCCACGAACAAACTAATCACACGATCTACTCCTCTGGGCCCTTAAAGGTGAAGTGATATGTTGTCAATGTTCGCACGCCGCCTTTAGAAAGTTACATGAAAACATAATATCAAAACATTAAACTAGATTCAACTTCACAAGATTACTAGCAACAAGGTCTATCACGTGTCCTCGAGAACGTAACGGACTACTCACAACACATCATAAGGATCATGATTAGTGTAGATGAATATATGAATAACAATCTAAACATATGAATCTTTCACCAATAAAACTTCTAAACATCAACTACAAGGAGTAATCGACACCAGAAACTATACTCGGCAAAGGATCTGAGGTAAAAGTTCATAGAACAGAAAGATGGGGTGAAGGTAGTTGATGAAGATGACAGTGCTGATGAAGATGTTGACGGAGATGATGATCTCAATGATGATTCGAGTGTTGGTGAGGACGATGGCTTTGAGTACCCCCTCCCTCAGGATGGATCTTTGGCAGAATCAGCCTCTAGAGGGCAAAAGTGCTCCGCCTCGCAGCGGTGGTGGAAAAACCCCGGATTAAATCCAAAGAAGTTTTAGGTCAGAATAGAATTTAGAGCCAAAGGGCATCGAGAAGCGAAAAAACAGGGCCTCCGCCAAGGGGCGTGTGGCCAGGCCGTGTGGAGCCTCAGTGTCTCCCCTCTGTCCCCACTTCTAGCTACCAGTTCCTTTTCCTCCAAAAATAATTTAGTAAAATTATCAGCCTTTTCTTTGGAAAATTAGTAAAATTTTCAGCCTTTGCTCCGAAAAAATATGTTTTCTTATGTTGTTGTTTCGCCCCTGTTTTCCAATTGGCCGATGTTTTCCTGAGAATTTCCCTCTCCATGTATTACATGCAAATTGAAAGGAAAAAGGCATTAAAATTGAGCAATAATGTGTTAAATATCATTGATAAAGAGTAAATTATAATAAGAAAAAGTGATGCAAAACATTAGAATTGAGCAAGAATGTGTTAAATATCATTGATAATGAGTAAATTATAATAAGGAAAAGTGATGCAAAATGGATGTATCAGGGCATTACGTCCTTATATTCATAGATCGTTATACAATTGCATCTATGACTGATACTCCACTAGAGACCACTATCCAGCATGCACCTCAAAGCATTAAGTAAAAGTGAAGCATCATATTAAGCAAGGTGACATAATGTTGATAGTATATTGTCTTTACCTCCAGTTCATCACCAAGACAACTACACAACTATTTTTTATCATTGCTGGCAATGACATAATACAAGTTTTTTTTCTGTCACTGAGATATATTACTTGCAAGGTTAAACCTAACTAGCATGGACACTCCCTCTTGGAGATCATTCATCTAAACACGACCAGTGCAAAGACTAATAGATCAGAGAGCATATATGTCTATAAATCATGCAACAAGGAGCTCATATGAATCCAAAATAAACTATATATAAATCTAATCATAAAGTGACAATTCAACACATGCAACCAAAACACCATTAATAACATGAGATGAATCACAATCATATTAGGCAGCTCAAGTGATATTTGTTGACGAACAAGGGAGAGAGGATGCCATCTAGATACTGTTATGGACCCATAGTCCAAGGAGGACTACTCACACATGGACATGGTGGCAACACGGGCGATGAAGATGGCTCCGACGATGAATTCCCCCTTCGACCGAGTAATCGAAAATGCCTCCAGATTGGATCGTCGCGGAACAGGAGGTGACGGCGGCATAGAAAATCATTAATAAATCTTATGGGAGGTTTCGGGAAAATGTAAGGCGGCAAAAGAAACATGTGTTGGAGGGGTGCCCTATGGGGCCCACGCACCCCCACCTCGTTGTCCCAACCCTAGACCGCGAGCCAGGGCCATGTGGGGCTCACACATACCCCCTCTATTGGTCTCTGGTCCCTCTGGCTCCTTGATTAGAAACTTCTAGAAATATTTTTCCAAAAAAATCATCCTCGAAAATGGTGATTTTCTGAAAGTCCAAAAGCATGAAAAAATAACAACTGACACTAGGCACTGAATTAATAGGTTAGTCCAAAAAATTGGTATAAAATTGTGCCAAAATAATATAAAAGTACCATGAACATAATTAAAATTATAGATAAGTTCGAGACGTATCACCACTGGACTATGAGTTTGTAGAACTGGCCAAGTAGCAATCTCTTCCCTCATTCTTCAATACAAAGATCACATGAGCTTCGTAACATGATCGTGATCTATATGTTGTAATTCTTGCGGTTACTTTCGTTGTGTGATGAATTATTACGTCATGATCAGATTATATGCAGTGTTCTGTATGTCTTATAGATGCATAATTTATTCTCCGAATCATTACTCTAATCCCTTGGTTTAGATGAAATAGTGGAGTGGTGCACATTAGATGTGGCAAATCTTGGTAAGGGTCTAAGGGAAGTACCTCGGTGATAGTAAGAGAGAAAAAGCTTATAATTGGATTTGGGCCACTAAGAATAATAGTATTGTTCCCTCAAAAAAAGAATAATAGTATTGTTGACCCGTTTTCTCGGTTATGAGCTAGAGGTGAGGGGAATATATTTTTAATTATATATCAAGTTCCTTAATGCAATGCTCTATTTTATTACATACGACCTGGTATACGGAGGGATCCCGGTTGAATGGTGATGGAATCTATGACAATGTCTAAAAATATAGTCCTAGAAGGGCACCCCACGCCCCGTTGAACACTTGTATGACATTCTTTAGACCACCTATGGTAAGATTATTCATGACAGACGTGAGTGATGTTTCTTACCCGATTGCTCGGGTCAGTTGCACCTACTTTGTGTAGTTTCACCCTTTAGGGCGTAGATATGTGAAGCTCTCAATACAGGAGCCAAATGTTGCCTACTTGGTGTGATCATGGTAGACTGGCATGTACACGATTGGGAGTGAACTTTGTAACAAGCTGGGTCCCATATGTCATCCTCTTAGTACATGAGCCAAGTGTCCTATACTTGGTGCAGTCATGGTGCTCAGGGTAGCAGATTCCCATTCCAGAACACCTCAACAAGCATTCAGTAAAAGGTATTTCGTACACATCAAAAACAACGAAGTAACACCCTTTTTGCCTCCAATAAATCAAATCACGACCTCCACTCAACGGCCAAAACTTTGAAGACAAAAATTGTACACATCAGCGGCAGGCTGAAATTACAGTGGGCATGCCGGACAAAAGTAGCAGGCAGAGCTATTATACACGACTAGACCAGGATCCGGTCCCTGTGGCAACTCAACAACACCTTTGCAAAATCAGAACCCTAGACCCCCTCCCCCAAAAGGGAACAGAAAGAATACCTAGTACAATAACACTATTTCCTTTTGCCATTCCAATTGGAAGCAAAAAAAACACATACAACCCCATTATATCCACCGGCAAGCTGGGTATATACAAGTGAAGCCTCAGCGGATCTTCAGAGAAGCTCTGAGTTGATATGCCATACTTCTCATGCTAGGGAAACAGCTTGGAGAGCTCATAATTAGCGCTGACCTAGATGAAGTTATATTCCTCATCTTTGTAGTAACTTCCACTTTCTTGTAGATGATTCTATTTTGGCATGGCTGTGGGCTAAAACCAGTCTCTTGAACATAAATCATTTTCTTGTGCAGAGAAGGGGCAAGATTCCGCTGAGTGAGATTTCAGATGGATCATATTAACCAATGTCTGATGAAGCTACTATATCCAGGCAAGAGCACCTCGATCATTTGCCGTTGCCGCTGCTGCTGCTTGGGGACGGCCCCTGGTTGGAGTTGCTGGCCTATTTGCATTCAGCTCCTGAATGCCATTTAATGTATAACATAGTCAACACATGGACCAAAGCAATCTGGCTAGTTCAAATGAAGGTATGTCTTTCCAACAAAATAGTGTTTTACCTGCATCCATGTATCTTCGATCTGATCTGGTGAGGTCTCAGGTGATGTGATTGCAGGAGGCAAAGGATGAATTAGTTTTGGAACAACTACAAGATCTCTACCCAAAACTAAGATTGCACCAGCATTGTTTGCAGTACCTGCGTGCACACCATGCAAATCTATCACAAACTGAGCCAAGAGAGTGAGACCAAATATTGTTAAATCATATTCTCACCGCAATAATTTGTTGCTGAGAAAAGAGTGATCAGGTGGCCTTGAGCAAAGCGCTCAAAGCCATCCATCACGCACTCATGTGCTCGTACAATTAATTGAAGGTCGTTGTTGTTACAGAACTCCATAACACGATCAGGCTGTGTCAACAACATGTGTTAGCTTCAGAAATCAAAGGGGACAAAGGAAAGGGGAGATGAATTCATCAATGTAAGGAATAGGGAGTACTAACCCCAAATGTAACAAGACCAGGCCCCCGAGCATTTGGTCTTAATCCTTCAACGCTGTCATTTTCTGTTGGATCAGACCTGTAAGCATCACAGCAAGATCATGGATCAACAAAACACTCCAGCTATGGGTAAATATCAGTGTAAGTTGTTGAAATGCTGACCATAGAAGATCCATGAGGACAACCGAGCCTGCTTCCATGGTAATTGGTCTTTGAAGATTCTCGATCTGTTCTACATGGTTGATTGAGCGACCGATACCACCATGCATACAGATAATTTTCTTTTCTATGAGTGCAGCCAAAGGAAGCCAGTTAAATAGCCTATTCATACGATGCCATGTCCAGATGCCATCTCTTTCGCCCTATATTTTCAGCAAAGAACACACACATGTAAGAAAAGATAAAAGGTGATATTGGACGAAATACAGTATACAAAGAAAAAGTTACCATTCGCTCTATACACTCTATTCGGAAGCCAAATAAAGCATTAATATCAGCGGCCTCATGATTTCCACGAATTAAATGTACGTTTTGCGGATATTCAACCTGAAATGTACAATTGTTTAGATATTACAATCTAAATAAACGGTATAGAAGAACAGGTCTAAAAGTTGCTGATTACTACCTTCAAAGCAAGAAGGAGGGACATAGTTTCTAAACTGTGCTGCCCACGATCCACGTAATCACCCAAGAAAAGATAATCAATGTACCTGCAGGTTAAGACAAGACAATAAGCAAGCTGAAGATGACTAAACTAACCCCCTCCAAAATATCATCTCGAAACTACTCCCTCCGTCCCAAAATACTTGTCGGAGAGATGAATAAAAATGGTTGTATCTAAAACTAAGTTATGTCTAGATACATCCATTCTTTCGACAAGTATTTCTGGACGGAGGGAGTACTATATTAAGGGACAGTGATATTTATTAGAGAGAACGAACAGGGAACAGAACTAATTCTGAATCGGGGTTGAAGTTCTAGAGATTAGTACACCAAGAAAATATATCAGATATGGTGTTCCCAAAAATACTCCCTCCGTCCCAAAAAGCTTGTCTTACATTTGTCTAGGTACGGATGTATCTACACACGTTTTAGGGTAGATACATCCGTATCTAGAAAAATCTAAGACACGCTTTATGAGAGAGAGGTAATATTAGATATGGCATCAAAATTTCTCTTGGTGTTTGGCATATTGAAAAGCACCATAACTATTAGCAAAAGAATTAAGAAAAGTGACATCTTTATCACTCAAAAGCAAGAACTTACGCGATGTCTCCAGCCGTTGAAGGAGAACCATACTCATCAAACAATCGCATAAGGTCACCAAATTGACCATGTAAATCACCAAATATTTTAATGGGAGCTTTAAGTTGCAAAACACTTGGTTCACTTGAAAATATTCTCTCAGCACTGTCACACAGATCTGCAATCTCATTGCAGTCCAAGAAGAACTGCCTTCGCACGGGAGGCTTCCAGCCGCGAGGTTTCAACAGAGATGCAATCACCTGGATATGTATAGCAGCAGACAGAACACGAAGTGAATATACATATGACATGAAGAACGGTAAGTATCACAGCCAATGCCTATATTGAGAACTAAAACTTCTACATCACCAAGGCTCGTTACCATAGCAAATAAGCTACCAGATATTTATTTGTTTTTTGTACATAGATGCCTAGCTTTAGACCAGAGAACACAAATTAACTTTGATTCAAATGTGGCCATATTTTGGATATGAAACGGTACCTTTTTGGGAATACTATTAATGGACATCTGGCGGTCAAGCAACTTCCTTGCAGCAGTTGCATTCTCAGGTGTGCCATAGCTGACCCTTCTTCCTTCATTTTCAAACTGGTCAATCGAAAGCTGTCTGACCATGCCACCTAAGGCACCTCCAGTTTCCGCAGCCACTACCACCTGTCAGAAGAAAAAAAAGAGCATGTCATCTGACGTGATGCAAAAGCGGCTTTAGCTACACAGGTAACAAGCACTGCCGAATGTATTAGTGCACTGACCTGATATAAATAAACTGCCGAATAAAACAAATGGACTACAAATGATACAAGAAAATGCAACACATGGCCTATTCAGTACTCACAGCTCTATGGTGCAACCGAACACCAGGTGGAGGTGTCATGTTATTTGAAAGTGCAGTGTCTGGTTTAATGAGACTTGAATGTTTGTTGCTTGATGAAGAATCTGGAGACTGCTCCTTGTCAGACAACTCTTCTGCCTCACCATTAACCTGCCTAGCCTTTACAGCAGCTAAAGTAGCACTAATTGCCTCTGCCTCTGCTGCTGATGCTTCGACCAAGTAATCAACACCTTTACTTGATCTCCTGTGATGTAATTAATTTTGACAAAAAAATCAAAATAATAATTTGGAAACAAATGCCAACTTGCTAATGAAAGATCACAGAACACACTCATGAAACAAATGAAGTGTACCTCTGTCCCTGCGGCACGGCGTTCTCAGGGCTAATATCAGTATACATGTCCCCATTAAGAGGAGGAGCAACTGGTGTTCCAAGAACTACAGATCCATCTGGAGCTGATTCTGAAGCTGCCTGTTTTGTACGTTCATCATTGTAAGCATATCTTCCAGGTGCCTTTCCAGCTTGTGTGTCAGTAGCTGCTGCACTTGCCGCTGCGTGATTAGCAGCAGTTGTCGTTTCTGCGGCAGCAAGATCTTCGGCCACAAGAAGATCATCTAGCAATACACCTACATTGGTAATCCTAAGATGTTAGCACAAAATAGGTAAATGTGATAGCATTAAACATTACGAAATAAAAGTATAAATACAGTCAATTATTCTGAACAGGCAAATATGAGTGTACTTTATACAACTGAAAACTATATAAATTATTCTACATTATTGAAGATATTTTTAAGTGCTTCAGACAAAAGAATGAAGGAGTATGACAACGGTAATAATGTGAACTATCAACAAAACTAACCTCAGAACCCAAACAATGTGTACGACAGAAAGAGTGTAGTGGCCAGTCATTCCTAATGTGCTCAGGATAGAACTAATGGATAGTAAATGAGAAAAAAAATGACACAGCAAGAGGAAACAAAATGAATGGCAACTTATTTGGACATTACATTCTGGGGACAACCAGTCCACGGCATCTGTTAACCATACAATGAATTTGATAACTCGCAGGGGCGGATGCTAATATCGTAAACGTCATTCACATAAAACATACTCCCTCCGTCCGGAAATACTTGTCATCAAAACATATAAAAGGGGATGCAACTAGACGTATTTTAGTTCTAGATACATCTCTTTTTATCCATTTTGATGACAAGTATTTTCGGATGGAGGGAGTACAATCATCCTACAAGTACCAAACGACCAAGGTGTGAACAATATACAATTGTAAGTAAAGTAATTGTCCGTCATGGAGTACCACGTGATGGACCCTTAGTAAGTTCATTCATGTCAGAGAACACTAATTTTATTTGATCAGGGTGAATTGAAAAAAATATATGGCATTTCATCTAAGCAAAAACATAGGTTGTGAGGTCACATGCTCATAAATCAAATAGAAGTATGAAACAAGTAGACTCTGAATGTGTAAAGCTCAGCACACATGCACGAAATGCAATGTGGAGATAAATGGATAGGTCTTGGTTGATTTGCAATATATAGAATTAATGATAGCAAACAAGTTACCTAGCAAGTAGCAAAAGTGAGGAGCTTTGGGAGATTGGATTCATAGAACTGCATGAAAGAAAATGCATGTTTCTGTGCACAATTATCAGCTTACCTCCCCGTAAACCTCCATAAAGGAATATTAAGTCGCCAACAGCAGCTGCTGCATGCCTACACCGTCGTGTAAGTTCAACAGCAGCATCACCTCCTGCTGCATCCGCACTATATCTTCCTGTCCTGGGAGTTGTGACAACTGACTTCGTGTCGCACCAAACTCCAGCAGCCGTGTCTAGCACTGGAATCAGGTAGAATGGTACGAAGTTATATGAAAATTGCAGGAGTCTGCTGATATAACTTTAAATGACCAAAGATAAATTCAGTGCTAGGCTGCTAGGAAAAGAGGCAGAAAAATTGTGCTAGGCTGCTAGGAAAAGAGGCAGAAAAATTGGCTCATATCAGCAGCCATGGGTGACAAGAGTGAACTACAGGAATGTTTTGCTATTCAAACATCTTGCAGAGATTGACATAATTAGCAAGTGATGTTTAAGCTATGATTTGCAAAATTATAATACTGAAAGTATTGGAGTTTTCAAGTACTTACAATAGTTAAGGTCTTTTTTAGACAATGAATACTAGAAATCCACAAAAAGGATCTTTAACATTTTACATGTTAACATTCAGACAAACTAAAAGAGACCGACTTCCTATAGACATTTCTGCCAATCATCAGCACAAACTATGAGGTCAGAATACATGGTTTCATACCCAGATTGTTAAACTGATATTGAAAAAAAAGGTAATTTCGAAATTTCAAAATTGGAACCTGCAACACTTGAGGAGTCCTCTACCATCCGACCACCTCCAAGAGCACCTCCTGACACATGAAGACGTGCATTCACGAAAACCTAAACACAAGAAGAACAGGCATTAGACACACACCACGCTGGACAACATTTTTACTAAGAAAAAATAGGGATATGACTGAATGTCTTACAGCTGCATGTTGGTATCTTGGTGATGGAGAGACACCAGGGGCTATTGCCCACTCCCAGCGCCCATCTCTATGTTTCGCGAGACCATATGCACTTGATAGTGGCTGATATTTTAACAAGGAGGGTACATTCTTAAGAATATAAGCTATATGGGATCTAAGATCTATTCATCACTCCTAATACTGATATTAAAGACACAGAAGCGGTGCAACAGAAATATGTGCTACTTTTACTAATCAAGTGCAATTAGACATCTGGAAATTCAGGCCATTACTTCATGGTATTCATATCACTTGCATCATTTGAGCAATAAAAATGTCTTCTTTGCCTTGCAAGGAATAGATAGCTAGCCAACAGAAAATAATGCTCTCATGACAGCTGCTACTCGGCAAATGGATGTTACTCATATACTCCCTCCGTCCGAAAAAGCTTGTCCCTCAAAAGGATGTATCCAGCACCAAGTTAAGCTTGGGACAAGTTTTTTTGGACGGAGGGAGTATGCATTAACTACTTGCCACCCATAACCATGATCACTTCGATGTGGCATAATTAACATAGTAACAAAGAAAATTCCACTTCATGGAAACCACCAGCTGCCTCGCTAGAAACGCTCAAAATGTGCAATTATTTAATTCCATGTTTCCTTTTCATTTAGTCATATAAACTTAGCTACAGCAAGAGGTTCAAACATACTACTACTTCCATTGCAAAATAGATATAGCCTAGAAAACTTGCAGTCATATGTAACTTTCGCTATTCGTGATCCTATATATGAAGATTGCTGAGATTGGTAAAACGAGAATAATATTATTACATTTTTCATAAAAATCGCAAGTCCATTTCTATTTTAAATTTAATTATACATTCACATAAAAAGACTATCAAAATTGCATCAATTAGACCATCATACCATGTTCAAAATATCATGTATTTTGGAACAGAGGATTATATGATTACGTCAGAATTGTTTCACTTACCACACTATTACCATCCCTCCCACCGCAGAGTAAAAGTAGACCATCAGATCGTGCACTGGCAGTGGCATACCTGAAGAACAATACCACATGTACGTTTAGTGAAAGAAAATAAAAACCAGTTCTACTTCCAGTAAAATAATATAAAAGAATATGACCTAAATGCAGAAGTTGGATCACAACAAACTGAATGGGCAATAGGGTTGTTAACTTTGCCACATCATGCTACTCTGTACCATTACCATACAAAATAAATAGCAGCAAATATTAATTAAAGATAGCTTAACAATGGAGTAAAGTTGTACAAGATGGTAATTTAGAAGGAACATAGGTGTATTGTCAGGAAAATTTATAATATGTCAAGCCACTGTCACTAATACATTATTTGTAGCTCACCAATGTACTTTACCACATAAAGCATTTTTCATTTCTGTTAGCCACACTTACATGCATGGTGGTGGTCCTTCACCTTCTGGTTCAAGTTTCCTCCATTCATATGGCTTAGCAGCCGTATCAAGAGCCCATACATCCGCCAGAGGCCGCTTCCCTAAGCAAATGAAAACCGCCCAAGTACCAACACCATTCAGGGAAATACTAGGAATATTTATCTCAATCTTGACAAATATTTAAGGAGCAATTGCCTACCATCATTTCCACCTATTGTCAACAAGAACCTCTGTCCAACCAAGGCCATCACATGTCCATATCGTGGACCTGGACCAGGTCCTTGAACCACCACTCTATAAAGAGTATACCACCCTCAGAAGAGATAATGAAGAAATAAAACTCTCAAATCAAATTAGTGAAGAATAATAATCACCTGTGCCATCGCGGTCTCTGTTGTGTAAGATCTAGAACATGAAGGTCCTCCGCAGATAAACCAGCTGGGCCAATTCCACCCTGGATGGCAAGAAATGATGAAAGGAAGACGAGATATTTAATGTTTTACCTCCATAAAGATTTGTAAGCAATAAATATAACCCGTTACAAAATTAAGTCCATGGTTTTAAACAATTATGCTATGCCAGTTTTATATCCTTGGTTAGATTAGCTTGGGAATAGTGGAGGGTTGTGGGTGTTTTAAACGGTAAAAACAAGTACTAATAGCAGACTAGTTATCTCGAACAATAATAAGGGACCAGTCTGGTCACTAAATTGACACGCCACTAGTAAAAAAAACATATACCTGAATGACAACCATGGTTCCAACCGCGGTTGCTACATGTGCAGCTCTTGGTGAAGGAGGCTCACCAAGTGGAGTAAGCCTGACAAAGTAGTATTGTGGTCAGGTTAGCTGATTTTTTGAGTGCTAAAAATCGAATTATCATGGTACCCTAGAAGGTACCCTAGAAGAGAAGTGTAGTGAAGACTTTACTGAAGTAGCAGCCCAAGTATGAGATGTTGAAAAAAGAGGAAAAAGAGCAGGAAACCATTTATGGAATACCCTACCTGCTCCACTTATTTGATAACACATCGTAACAGTGGACATCTGCTGTGGCACCGGCAAGACCTGCGACCAAGGAGACCGTTGAGATAGTCGCCTATGTATTTGACTGGAATAAGATCAGAATTGCTCGCCAGATAAGATCATCTACTTTTGCATTGCAGAGAATGATTTGGACACTGGAACAACTAAACTTGTATATTAAGCTTCAAATGATTCTTCCTAAAAGATTACACAAGTTGGCACTCAAAAGAGAAAGCCACTAATTTCATGTCAGTGACAGATCTTGAAGAAGTTTCATTACGCTCCTATTTTGCTTAGTTGAAAAAAATGGTTCAGCCTGCTATCTTCATAGAATAGGCACAACTAGAGATAGCACATGATTGGAGACAGTAGAATGTTCCTGCAAACCAACCAGCCAACTATAATCCTATAAACATTTGGCAACTTCAGATGGTAGAGTTGAAAGAAAAATTGTCCACGGGATAGGGGATTATTGTTCAGAAAGTTGTTTTACTACTCAATTTTAGTGCTACCTGAAACGGCATTGAGCATTCTAGCCTAGGGAATCAATTTGGTATTAAGAACCAAAAAGCAGTAACCATATTCAGCATTTGAGTTGAGCAAATCCAATTCATCAAAATAGCTTGAATTTTAATTCCTGAATAGAAGTAATAGCTGAATTTCAGCATATTTCAGCTTTCTAGACCCACTGAAAACTAGCTTTCAGGCCGACTTTGCCCACAAAATAGCATGACTTCTCGGTAAATGGCCTGAAGCCCGGAAATTCATTTTCATTTCAAACTGAAATCTCAAAGTCTGTAAACCAAACACCGTTCCACAGTGGGAGACCATTAGAAATGACAAGGCATGGGATAAAAGGCATTACGGATCCCGGCGCTGCCAACTGAGGAGGGAGGCGTTGCAGAGTTGCCCTCTAGCGCGGTTGCCCCGCCGAAGAGGATGAGCCGCGGCCCGACGTAGCCAGGCGAGCCCTCCTCCCCGACGGCCGGCACCGCCGTGAGCGTGTGGCCGCAGCGGCACCCCGGGCCGTCCTCCTTCTTGTCGATCACCGCGTTCACCGCGGTGTACCCTGGCGCCGGCCTCGGCCCCGATCCCGCGACGGCCGGCGAGGCCGGGGCCGCCGCGGGCGTCCCGGGCGTCGACGGGGCGGACGAGGAGGAGGTCTCGCTCCCCGAGCCTCGGCCCAGCGCAGCGGCGGTGGTCGCGTCGGAGTCGGAGTCGGACTCCGTCGTCATGCGCGAGTCCACGTCCATGGCCGCCCGGTCCCGCTAGGGTTGGCCGGCGGGGCCCGAGATCCCCCGACGCGCCGCCCTGGGAGGCGCGGGCCCGGCCGCCACCGCCAGAGCCGTGAGCCGGGCGGCCGGCGGAACCCTAGATTCCCCCGCCCGGCGCGATTTGTCGGGTCCCGCTTGTCCGGCCTGCCGCGATGCGATCGCGGGGAGCGCGTGGGGAGGG